ACAAAACATCAGTGGATGGGGAACGCTGGGCGCGAGTAGTCGATTACAGCGATTTCTCGTTCCAGAGTTGGTAGTACTGTATCTTCCGGAACGCGACGTGAGGTACATCAAAACTGCTGCACCAGAAATATCAAAACAACATTTTTCATCTACGGATGGTAGAAATGCCTTTTATTCGAACATACTTTCGTTCAAATCATGACCGACACGCCGTCTTGCGTCCTATGCACTGCATGTGTTTAAATACCATGGAGCAGTGGCCTGCTTAAATGGCTCCCTAGGCGTCTAGAAGCAAGGACGTGGTACGACGTCATCAGCTGCTGGTCTAAAGTGAGAAATTAATTTTTCTTTCTTTACACGGTGCATTCGCCGTTTGAATCCGGTATCATTTTTTTACTGTGATATATTCAGCGGCGGCATCGATAGCTAACCAGAACATCGGGGCTCGATTCTGTCACTCTTTGTCCTCTGGATCTTGGCAGTGTTTCTTGTTCACCAGATGCGGTCCTGTGTCCTATGCTCTGCAGGCGCTTAAATCCATGGAGCCGTGGCCTGCTTATGGCACCCTTGGCATCAAGGGGGCGGTGCAATCAACTGCTGGGGAAAAGTGAGAAAACTAATTTTTCTTTCTTTACAGTGTGCATTAGCCGTTTCAATCCGGCATCGTTATTATATTTACTACAACGTTTTTCATCTAGTTAGTCTCGAAGCCATGTATTTAACACGCACTTACAGACTGAAACATGGGTTTGCTGTTTCAGCTGAAAATTATTTCTTTTGAAACGCGGTGCGAGCGTCACTGAAGGCATCAGCTGTACTCCTGATGCGCTTATTAACGGTGACTGGGACTCGGGATACACGTGTTTACCGATTTTCACCGGTGCTATCATCGTCCAGCTGCCGCAGACATTCGTTTTGGATTAGATACGAATTCTGGTTCGGAACTGCGACAATCGGAAGTACAGCTATTACATCGAAACGAGCATCGACTGTGAAAACTGGAAGTTGCTCATGGACAAGAGGAACGAGGAGCGCAGTTCCTGGCAGCATCACAAGTTCGAACCGAAACTCATGATTTACGTGAAAATCGTGGGAACTCGAAATACAGAGATCGAATATAACTAGAGCATCTCAAGTCAGGAGGAATGACCCTGTTCAGAATGACGAACAGAGTACATCAGGCTGAAGAAGACGCCAGAAGCATGGAAAAACTGTTAAACAATTTTACTTTTCAAGAAAGATGATCGTAAACACCTCCAGCGCTATCAATCGCCCGTCAGAGGTCAATAAGTTTTTTACCCGACTTATCCTCAACTGTATCGGGAAAGATTCGGAACCTCTCGTTAGCAAAGAACAACCCGGTGACTGACTAGGGCTCTCCACTATAGCAGATCCACGCCATGAAAGGGAATACCAATTCCCTCTACAGCCCATTCATGGACTTCAGAACAACGTTCGATTCCATCGAGCTGAGCGCTATACTGAACATCATACACGACTGCAGTATCAACCGAGTTTTATGTCGACCTGATCGAGGAACTGGATGTGACTTTGCAACCGACATTAAGCTGTTCGAGAAACCTTGTCGAATTAACATCAAAACAGGCATACGCCAAGGAAACTCCATCTTTCCTAAGCTTTTCACGAAGGAGCTTGAATCTTTCATTAACTGATCTAACTGAGGTAGCGGGATTAGCATCGACTGAGAACAGCTCACCCATCAGCTCTTCATTATCTCCGCCAAAGACTCGGCGACACTCTAGTCAAAGATGGTGCAGTTGCAGGAGTCACTAGCCATCGATCTGGACATGAACATCTCTGAGGCGAAGAAGATATCCATCGAGCACTATTCCACGTGTACCATATCCGTTGACAGCGAGGAAGTGGAAAAAGTAGCTAGCAACCTAATAGACTCCAATAATAATATCAACAGCGAGATAGTAGAAAACGATACGCGGTATGGGCAAGTTTCTATCACATCAAAACATCATTGCTGAATAACGAAGAAAGAATTGTTCGACTTCACCGTCCTATCCGTACTGTTGTATGGTCTTGAGTGCTAGCGATCCACTAAGGCTGAGCGAAAGAAATCAGTAGTAAATGCGATGGACAAAAGAGCATGCTAGATTTCCCTTCGAGAATATTTTCCAAGAGCGACCGTTCACGATTCGGATGTAATTTTTGGACGTACTTGCCGCCTACAACTTGAAGAGATAATGGGCTGGCCAGTGGCTTAATTTGAAGGACAACAAATAGACAAATGAAGACACTAATTTGATCTCACCTGACAACAGACATCTATCAGGTACTGCACTTCACAAGCACACTCCAACAATGAAAACCAAGGGCCCAACACTGTGAAGAGTAAGAAAAAGCAGACTTGCGTCTATGGACATATCGCGGACGAAAACGGGTCAAATAGAAGGAGCAGAAAAAGGACGTCGCCGCTACTGAAAATTTCAGATCTGAATTCTATGATACATCCGACCTGATTTAGTTGACCTTGCCAGAAGCAACCTCTATGCTTCAGCCAGCAGTGCCTTTAGGCTCACTGACAGGAACCGATAAATTGAAACATGACTGCTTATTACCACGGTTTTTAATAGCAATTAACCTACAGCAGTAGGTTAGTCATAGGTTGGTGAGTGCCAGCAAAAATATACGGTGCTTAAGGTCGAAGATGAAAAGCAGGCTCTATTCAAATAATTACTGGCTACTATAACTCAATCTCACCGTGTAACACCTTAAATAGGCAGCCAACCGGCAGAAAAGCCAGCATTCATGTAACAGCAAGAAGAAATGAACTATTTCTTTAATTATATAATTTGAGATACATCCAGTTATTAGCTGCATCTTGAATCTGTGAGTTTCTAGCATACATATTATGAAGGCGTTTTGAGGAGTGAATTGTTCTATAAAATTCTTCTTGAATTTCTTCTGATATTCTCATACTGTATTTTTGGCAGTCCTTGCAAATTATTGCACAAAGTACTGCATAGCAATAGCAAAAGCACAATCAATAACGGATCTTAAGGAATGTCTTGCAGAATAAATCATTGTTGTTAGCAGCTACTGTGAATTTAAACTTGTAAGCTATAACTTATTAATGTTTACCTTCTGGATTTTTAAGCGCTTGTACACATTTAAATCCAACGACCGTTGGACAACACTTTGATCGCTCGTTGCACTGAGTATCTGAGAAGCACTCATCCCAAACTACTCGTTCCATTTTCAACGACTGATGACCAGGACAAAAGCCATTTTTAATCTGATCATTTTTGGAAGTTGGGCAGCACAATCGATTGACACATTCATGCTGCTGCAGGCAATCATCTTTGGACCGACAGCGTCTGTTTGAAATGATGCCATTTGGACATGTCACTGCAATAAGAAAGTTTACAAGACAGGATGTCAACACCATTCTTTACGGTGAGTGTAATCCGGCTGTTTGCATGAATACGCCGTAGCGGTTTCGCAGCAGAGTAGTCGATCATCACAGTCAGCGTCAGTGCGACATGCAGTGCTTTGAATTCGGTTTGTTTTTTCAGTTTCTTCTAGACAAGTCCCAAGTTTCTTTGGCAATGTTTCTAAATGCGATTAATTTTCTTGTATTAGTACGTTTGAAGCGTTACACATAGACTATCCTTAAAATTGAGATTTAGGCGTTTAAAAAAAATTCAAATCCACTTGACCATGGTTAAACGTATTCTTTTCACACGTTCCCCTGTTTCACCTATTCTAACTTTCTCAATTAAATCTGCCTTTTGCCCAAACCTCTCTCAGGTAAGCAACGGATCAAGCAAATAGTTAAATACGGAGAAGAAGCACAGTTGTCTTGAAGCTACGGCGGAATTACTGGCTGGCCCATCTCTGAAGGGCTGTGATGAATTCTCAAGCATTGGACCAAAGATGTTGATGGGAACTTATGGCAATTTGCTGTGCATGCCGTTAGCCAAGGGTGTTGTTGTAAAGGCAATGTTGTGGCAAGTACTAAGCATTGTTGACCTAGTGACTTGGTTTAACAAAGTTTCATGTGGGTTTAAAACAATTTGGAGTAGGAAAATCACCCAAGCCGCTAATCCGGACGGAATGACTAAGGTTTACAATTGGTACTAATCTCTGATGCTGCAATGATGAAACTAATGAGGCTCTCTAACCTCTGAACAGGGAACGACGAATTAACGTAATAAAGCCTGAAAAGCCATAACATTCTTGATAAATTAAATTAAAAGATGGTGATTAATGAAAAAAAGAAGCAAATAAGGAATGATACACCTCTTAAATTCATTTTGTTAAGATCTGGTTAATTTTGAATAAAATATTGATTATCACTGTATATCTGTCACATCATCGTTCCTCTAACAGGAGAAAGACTCGTTATTTAGCACAGAAAACATCAAGTCTATGACTATTCTAAAGTTCAAGATTTTAATACCTGTAATATGTTAAAATTAGCATTAATGGAAAGCACTTCTTTTGTGGTAAAATGAGAATGACGCTGCTATGGAAATTTCAATTTCAAAATGGTAAAGTGATCCAAAATTTATAAATACGAAGGCTATTTGTCGTAATAAATTGTGTAAACAGCTGAAAACACAACATTTGCAATGGTCTTTTCTGTCGAAATATTGAGTTGACTATTGGAAGAGATCACAGTCTGTTTTCATCTTAATGCCATCATAATCAACTCTGGCTTTTGCCAAAAAGTTAGGATAAAGCTTTCCGTAAACCCATTTAAATTGATAAATATTTATCCTTTAACTCCAAAAATTGTTTAAATAATGGAAGATACTTGTTGCGACGGAAGTATGGTGCAACGTAGCAATGAATTTCTTGAAGAAGAAATTACAGAAATTAAATTTAACTTATGTGATAATTATTATCAAGCTCAACCCGATAATGAAGTTAAAACAGCAATAGCAGCGTATAGAATAAACCGTGCATAATTCTGCTTAACCTTAAACGCTCTAACGAAAAATTTCAAAGATTGCTTGATACCAAATATAAACTTTAGACTTCTAATTAAATTTACACCATGTTATATACCTCTGAGAATGACAGTTCGCTAGGATATGCCATAAATTACCATTCAACGGAAAATGATTACATAGAAGCAACATAGAGTATGGTCACTGAAAAAATGACGTTACAGCTGCAAAATTGCAGAGATGTATGTGATGGCCTACCAGTGTGAGCCGTAGTAATCAATCATCAGGGAATAAAACAAACTCTTGAATTTCACCAATTCAAGGAGCAGCACGAAATAACATCAGGGATATTGCAGTACGCGGCACCCACTCGATTATCAGAGGGTAGAGGGAATGGCGAGGAAGGACCTGGTTGAATACGCCATTCAATGGCTCATTAATCATCCAGTCCTGCAACAACGTCAACAGTTACAGATGACTTTCTTACGTTACTTGCACGGATTGGACGATCGCGGTTTAAGAGACTGTACCAAGAGTTTTTCTTCTGCTCAGAAACCAACAAATGACAAAAGAACTGGAGAATATAACCCACCTCTCTACGTTGAAGTTGGACCGCGAGATTAGGGCTGAAAAGTTGATAGTAGCCAATCATATGATGTGCAAAGTTATTTGTGTCATGTATAAATAAACCAGGTCTTGAACTGTTTTCAGTATGACTACAGCTTCTAGAACGAAATTATCAATCATTAAATAAATAAGTGAAATAAATACTCCAGATGTTGAGCATCTACAGACTCTATGTAATTCAATTCGATGCAGGTAAGCAAATTTCGTAACATTTGTTTACGGCATGGTTCGAGAACTGTGCATTAGCAGAATTCTGATTTTGAAATGTTCTTGGGTTTATGACCTTAATCTCATTCGTTGATTATTTTCTTTAAAACAATGTGTAATATGTTTCAACTCTGAACCTTTTGCTGGAAGGTGCGTTTTTGAGAAATATAAAAATTCTGTATTTGCTATCTTAGGAGCAGATTTTAATTAATCTGGAAACCAAGGCACAATGCAAACTGAATAAACGCTCACCGAATGAAGCAAAATCCTTCACATTGTGAACAAAGATGATGATCATCCTGTCAAAGGCTCAAGAACACTTGGAAATAATATGTTTGAAATTTCTACTTTGACGAACAATTA